CTTGTGTTGTGTATGTTGCGCATGACTTTAGGAAACGGCGCAGTGTACGAATGGGGAGGACCCAATTCGAAATCCCCGCACACAGTTGATTTGCATTGGCAATACCCAGAGGTATACTCATTTCACAGTGCATTCCATCACGAGAGGCGCAGAGAGGCTGCCAAACCCACACATTTGCTCGCAAGCTGAAGTCTGCAGGAAGCACTTCGCTCCCGCCGGTACTTGCTTTCAATTGGGTGCTACGACGTCTTATGGATCATGTACCTCGTAAATTCTCCTGCGTTGGGGGGTTCGAATTTTTTGCTGTTCATGCTGCAGAGTATCTTCAAAAGCCGTGTAACGAAAGCAGTTGCTGGTGGCTATTCGAGTTCAACGGGTTTTTCGGCTGTCCTCACAGGTAGGCTTAGGGTGAAGTGCTTTGCGGTTTTACGTGCTCTTTTGGTGGTAGCAGGTTTCGGATGTTTCCACGGGAATATGCAGTTAAAGCAGGAACTCTTGGTGGCATTCAGCTTCAGCCACTCCACAGTGATGCGTACATGTGTGGCTATGTATCTGCTGGCAGAAAAGGGGGAAGCGTTTTTGTGGGGACCAGGGGTTTTGAAGATGCCGCTAGGACTGGAGGCCACAGAAGGCCAAACACCTGAGCTACTCAGGCTTGCCCTGGACACTCAGGAGTCAAGGGACAAGCAAAACAATGGGAAGTGGCGAGTCGTTGATATTTTTGCTGGACAGCAGGGCTGTGTCTTCGTCACCACGGACTGCCCGCAACCGTTGCCTTTTCACGACAGCTAAGGCTTGTTGTAGTGAAAAGTGCCACGGCGGTGGCAACTACATTGAATATAAGGGAAGCTCTTTCCCACTTCCGACTGTGCACCTTAGTTCGAGGAGACATTTATTTTGGGAAAACATATAAAGCTCCATGCGCACTAGAAGGCGGGAAGAGGCGTATTCTTTTTACTATACAACACTTACGTAGTTCCACCCCATCCGACCAAAGCGCCAACGAATGCATTCAGCTATACTGCTCGCCTGTGAAAGAGTTGAATTCTTTTTCCGTGAGCTGTAGGTGGTCTGAGCCGATATATTGTTGTCAAGCTGAACCGTTGCCCGAAGGAAACACGAAGAATATGGAACCCCCCTGAATTGGTGCGCAAAGACCTATCTACCGCTTGAAAACTCAGCCTAGGCGATGCGTCACCAGATCTGCTCGCATCAGGTAGCCTCTGCAGAAGCAGCGGACATATTTAATGAGCCTTACATCTTAACCGAGGACGGGCATGAGCTGCATTAGAGTCAAAACATGTTGAGAGTTTCCAATAAGCATGTTATTCCCTCTTTAGTCTTCCTGCCCTGGGCGCATTGGCCCAAATGCCTGGGGGCTGGTGCCTGATGAGGTGGCCAGCCATTAGCCGCAACGGACTTTGCTACAACCAGTGCTGCAAAGCAGCCACTGCTCCATGCACAACCAAGGCCGCATATCTGCACTAGCACTTTAGACAATTGTTGAACGCTTGCGTGGCCCTTCATGGCCAACCTGCACTCAAGTACAGGTGCACGCACCAAATCCATGCAGACCATTGTATAACTTATATGTGCTGCGGCCGGGCTACCGCCATGAGGCATTTGACTGAGGTCTCCGCGTAGCCCCTGACGCATGGTACTTCAGGACGTGCTGAAGTGGTTGTTATTTGCCCTTACAGCGGGGAGCTGTTTGCTCAGCTTCTTGGTGCTTCTATACATATTTAACTAGTTCAGCGCAACTTGAGCTGCACATGTGTTTTGGGGTGATCCTCTAAGGGGCGTTTCACGTGTGCAGTTGTCTCATTCAATAGCCTCATGTTAATGAGGAAGTCTGCTGCCCGTCATTGCTCTGATCATATGACTCACTAGAACATTCGTAAAGTAGTACTACAGCGACTACGTCTTGACTAATTCACAGAACTATGGCGTTGCAGCCGGCTGCCTTTCGGAACTTGGAGGAAGGACTCGCCCGCGCAATACTAGTAAGTGAGAATATATTTCTTTCTCGTGTAATAACAAGTTTTCAAGTGCAGGTTAGCACGAACTGGTAGATCCTTAACTTCTGGATACAGCAGGAACAATCAAGATTGAGCTACGTGGACAATCTTTTGCTTATTCCAAGTGTGGAGAAGCTGTGGCGCCTTGAAGGAGTACCCCCCAGGTCACTTGAGGGGGTTGCACGTGGACAGTCTCGTCGATGCTCGCTCTTCCCTCCTGCTATTCTTTTCAATATTCACTTTTTAAGATTAAATGCAGGAATTTACAACTATGTGCAGCCCGCTATGGATGAGCTCCCGACCGTAGGCCTCGGCGCTGCGCGGGACGCGCACACCCAGGCAAAAGTAAGCCGTTTTGCTGCCTCTGACCTTGATTCGTTGGTTAAATTTCTAGTATGTCGCATCTTGGAGGCACACCGGCGTTCCTGCCGACTCTTCCGAGGTAATGGAAGGACGAACGGCTCGTCCATGCTTCACCAGCTCCCTCAGCCAGTGGAGGTGAACGAGACCTCAGAAAAAGAAATGCAAGCTCCGCACCCTTGGCGAGTTCTAGTGGGAATTGGTGGTATTCCAGGGAGTGGCAAGTCTACTATGGCGGGTAGACTTCAAGCTGCGCTTAACGGAGTATCAAAGAGTCAATTCTGTCAGTGCCTCCTCCCAGTGGAACCAGAGACAGACGTACACACAAGCCAACAGGAACTCAAACAAGAGAATATGGCACGATCTCCCGTGGCTGTTGCTGTAGTTGGTATGGATGGTTTTCACCTAACACGTGCTCAGCTCGACGAGTACGCGCACCCTCACTATTCCCGTCCTCCTTTACTGTGGGAGCCAGAACCTCTGCTGATGTTACACAGCGTGTTCAGTTGTAGGGTTTGTCTTTGTTCCAGGTTTCCTGATCCAAAGGAGGCCCATCGACGCCGCGGCGCACCGTGGACTTTTGATCTAAGGGCGTTCTGGTAAGTCTTTCTCCTGCGCTGTACAAAGAAGGCCCTGTGTCGGCGTTCTTCCAACCGAAAACATCGTGCTGTAGCTGCGTATTGCAGACGATAATCCGCACTCATTCCTCAATTCAGGAAGTCGAAAACCTGGTGAAGTGTACTTCGTCCCGTGTTCGTTTGTACTTCCTTCTTGTGGGTGCGAAGGGAAGCGTTGCAAACGCTGAAGATGAAAGCTGAGCCTGTAGTTTTTCCCACCTTTGATCACGCTGCAAAAGTGGGTCGAGGCACTGAGCGCAAGAAACACTGCTTAAAAGGAGCAGCTAACGAAACGTGGCAGATCCTGTCCGCGCTCTAACGTATGCGCAGTAGGCTTCTGACCAACCGATATTGGATTCTGTCTCTGTAATTGACCGGTTTCCGGTTTTCCTGGGGTAGCCTCAGCCTTTTCAACTTGTGCAGGTATACAGCACTCCTGTGCGTAAGGTCTCCCTATCCATCTGACGTTGGGCCATACCACCACTGTACTGGTCACGCAGTTACTGCTCTACTGGATGCAGGACCCGGATAGCCGTGGATGCGTTGTTGCGACGTCCACGCGAGTCGTCCTTGTGGAAGGGCTGTATATAACTGCCACTGAAGAAGGCTTGTCGCATCCTGGAACTTTCGACGTAACTGTCTTCATTGATACTCCCAAGTGCGCCCATACAACGCTGCTCACTAGCTACTCGCTAACTGCTGGTGCTAGTACAGAGCCCAACACGAGGACCGAGTCCGATTCCGCTTAACGACAAAGTCTCTAAGACGGGAGCAAGGCTACCCTTGGTTTGACTAAATGAAGAAAATAAACACAAAGCTCCAGTATGCACATTCTTTCTGAGCATGTGCATTCTGTCTGACGTGGTCGCTGCAGAACCATCGCCGAGGACCGCGTGATACAACGCCACGTTGCAAGCGGAATATCACGGGATCGAGAAGAAGCCAAGCAGAGGTACTGCCCCACAAGAATTGTTTCTGAAGAGTCTGAACCATTTTTTCCCACTTTCGGAGCAAAACCGGATCCCCTGGCTTTATTACCCATAGAGCCGCCATGAGCCCCTTTTGCACAGGGTTTTAACACTCAGGGAGATCCGACGAAACCATGCCCGCCACAAGCGTACCTCTGTGACCTTTTCTCGAGCAGGTGGGATGGAAACGACTCCAAAAACGCAGATTATATTTTGAGTCAGCTTCACCTTGCGCAGCCCGATGCAATCATTCAGGGCGACGCATAGGGTTGCTCCCCTCGAACTCCGCACACAAAGGATGAGCCTCCCGCTGGCATTTCCGAAGATGTGCATCCATCTTCAATGCGATTCTTTTGGCTGTTCACCGAGGCACACCTCGTCTGGTTCTGGGCCAAGGCCGACACCAGCCAGCGACGGAGATGTCGACTAATTTTGACAAGCAAACTCATTTACCTTTTCACTGCTGTGGCTCCGTCCAGCAATGCAACTCCTAGGACTTCGGGCGCACATCCTCTTCTCTAACAGCGCGCACGATGATTTGCGGTTTGGGCTGTCCCGGCTGCGGTCCCCGTTCAAACATGTAGGAGACCCCCATTGCGAGCAAGGTGCCGCTGGAGTTGAAGGCCAGACTTGAAACGCTGCAGGGGAAAAAGCAATTGCAAGTGTTATACGCAGGCACTTATAACAGCACTACACAAAATGTGCGTAAAATCATCGTTACCCGGAGTCATCAGTATGCTACAGACAGAAATCGAAACCCACCTTGTAGGCAGAGGAGGAACCCTGCATAGCCTCTTCTTGCTCAGCCCGTCCCAAATCGACACACCGCCATCAGAACCGCCTGTAGCAAAAGTTCCATACCTGAGGAAAAGCCAGCAAACCAACGAAGTGGCTGTCTTTCGTTGCTATGAGATTGCAAACATTATGTAACCTACGGAAGTGGGGACTGGACGGTGCTCTGCCCAAATGAAGAATCGATTCGTCTCCGTTGCAACTAGCTGTGAACAACTGCAGCTCATTGTCGTGGCACGCTGCCACTGCAGTGGCCGACATTACTCAATAGGAGAATGTGGTCTGCATGAAGTGTAGCACTATCGTGGGGGNGCCACTGCAGTGGCCGACATTACTCAATAGGAGAATGTGGTCTGCATGAAGTGTAGCACTATCGTGGGGGGGAGAGTTACTCATGTAATGCACACCAAGCCTGCCGCTTCACATGCGGAATTTGTGTGTGCTCTCACCGAGGATGGAAGACAATTGCGTTCACGGGACAGGCGGTCTCAGAGCCATCTGCTTCTGCAGATAACGCAGTAGACACTCACAGTAGAGCGGAAGTCAGTTCATACCACCGGGGACGGTGACGAAGCGCAAGTAACGACAGTTCGCCATCGTCATGGTACAACCATTCAGAAAAAACTTCGTTTGCATTAGCATACAACAGTTTGCAGATAAATAAGCTGTTTCTAGGGCCTCATTCGTAGTACCCACGCTAACTGATTCACAAAACCCTTGTTTGCGAAAAGGTCCCCAACTACTCCTACTTGTAAAGCCATCAAACCTCACCTTTAATTCTGTGGCACTTGAAGGCGTACTTCCGGGACTGCACCTCAGGGTTCTGAAAAGAAGGCGTTCCACAGCATACCCGTAACAAGAAGTACTTAGAAAGAAGCAAAATGTTGGTTCCTTCGAACCTTCCTGTTCAATTCTATACAGATGTAAAGCTTCTGAAGATACCGTCCCTACTGATTCGGAGTGCCACTTCTGGTCCGAGCTCGACAGGGCAACGGGCCAATTGCAAGAACACGACAAGCAGAAATGCAAGGCAGGAGTGCAGG